TGTTACCCACGGACTTGTTATGAGGGGTTTATTCGAGTAACTTAAACTGTCATATAAAAACTGGGGACGGGATAGAGGCCGAGAAAGGAAGTCGGCCGGCGCGGATACAGACCCTAACAAATATGATTCTTAGAATTTATAAAGCATCACAAAGGGGACGGAATCCCGTCGGCCCGAGAGGGCCTCCGGTCTCCCGTGGGGCTTCGAGTTAGCTTAGCTTAAGGAGGGACAGGGAAGGGGTCAGGGGGGAAGGGGGGAATCCGAGTCTCGGGCTCGACTGACTGATTTCGGGAATCGAGGGGATGACCCGCTTGGGGGGCAGGGCAGATAATGGTGCCGCAGGCACCATTAAGCGTATATACTACAACCATTAAGAGTATCTACTACAAGCTGACGCGGACTCGCTCTTTAAAGGGGCTAGGAAGTCAGAATTTGCGTGTGTGGATTGAACCTACGCGAAAAACGAAAGCGCTACCGAGAAGCACCAGAAAATTTATTTCGTTGCAAAAAAAAGTAAAAGATTCGAGCAATACCGAAACGTTCTCGAGGCGAAAACGACTTTTTGGGTGCGCGGCGCCTACCTATCTGGAAGGCCCCCAATCTCTCGATCCCCATGATTCTCTGACCAATTTTGATACTTAAAAAGTCTAGAATAATCAAAATTCGGTAAGGATTTTAGAAATAGCGTCGAAATTTTGAAAGTCAAGCGTTTTCAGGTCCAAACAGTGGTAAAGGGTCATGCGGATATTTGCCCGGAATCAACGCTGAGGGCCCCGGATAAGAGTTCAGTGTCTTTTAAGCTACAGAAGTCGGTAAATATCTTAATAAGCTTCGTCTTTTCAGCCTGCATAAGCGGCCGCTGGCAGAACGTCATTCGCCTTTTGGAGCTTACCGGGACCGGCGGCCCCGGCGGTACAGTTGAACAACGCCGACGTGGAGGCGAATAACGCAAAGAAGATGAGAGTATTAGGTGTAGATAGTTTATGCTTCGGTCAATCGTTTTGCTAGCTACAGTTCGTATTAGAAAGCCTGGTCTTAAAAGCAGAATCCGGAATAATGATTTGCGGGAGCTCGCTTCCGCACATCCGGATTTTATACACGAAATGAGGAACCACACCGTCCAAGCCATGTGCAAATCGCCCGAATAAAGGTCGATAAGCGGCTAACGGCTATAGGTGTGAAGCGGCTGCGCAAACCAAGTACGGCAATGGAATGCGATTTTTTGTTTTAAACTGCTTTGTTGCAAGCGCCGCTTTTGTGGCCGGCCGTTCTTTGTTAAGCGTCGGACTGACCAGCGCCACCGCAAAATTATAAATACGACTCCCTGCGATACGCACGCGCACGTAGCTGACCAATGTTCATTATACTCAAGCATTTATTCATTCTTACGTCGCATAAAGCAGACTTGGCCTCACCGGTGTGGTGTCGAAATTTGCATACCGTTGCGATACCGATCAAGACTCGTTTAGCGGATGTCGCAATTTCATGATGTCCAATTCATATTGCCGCAATTTCATAGGGTCGAAATTTCATAATGTCACAATTTATTGCAAAGCAGTTGGAGGGATTTTCTGTGAAATCTATGTAAATTTTGGCGTCGAATTTACGACAGTATGGATTTTGAAATTAATAATGGTCAACATTGCCGAATTTCCACTATTTTAAAAATTCATTTCCTTAATTTGAATTCTACCTAAGTGAGACGGTTGGCGATAGCGTTCATAAAAACTTTATTTTCTACCCATATTTACAACGAAAACCACATCTAACTAGCAAAAATTTATATACACAGTGTTCGCTATTTGCCAACGCTGCTGCAGGTGGCGCAGCACTGCTGCTTCATCAGCGTCGCGTACGCGGCGTCGGTGCAGAGGGAACTAAATGTAAAATTAGAAATATGTTTTGACAGAAGGACTCCAAGAAGCGAAGCTGAAAAGTACCCACCGCCTAGCCGAACAATCCGAAGTTCCGGTGGCCGGGTTGATCTGGTCGACGCAGGCTAAAAAGGATCCTGTTGGTGATTCCAAAATCCCGCAGATATTCATAATATCGTTGGTTCCATGAACTTACTTGAGGTGGACGACGTGACGCTACCACAGAATCCGCACGTCTTCGGACACTGCACTCGCATGACGGACAGGTAGTTGGAGTCGGTGCACAGTGAGGCCCTTTTCGGGCAGTCCGAGGTTCCGGTCACCGGGTTCAGCAGATCCACGCAAGTACCTAAAATCGGAGGTCACATTGGACTGCTGCGCAGATCAGAAAAAATATACATATATTCTACGAGTCTTATGGTAATCTAGAATCCAGTAGCTCCTACTTCTTGTGACCCTCTTCGTCGTTGTCGTGACGACCGGAGCGATGCCTCCCTGTCTGCAACACGACTCGGCAGCTGTCCCAAGGCCGATGCAGGCGTCACCGTCGGTTCCCAGGCAAGTGCCACCGATACAGGCTGAAATTCACGTCTTTCTGATGCATCGCTCGATAATGTGAGCACCGTGCGGTTACAGCCATTTCAGGAATTTCAGGGTCGAGTTGGCTAGAGATTAGCAACGGTAACCACTTACGTCCAGTTTTTGAGCCTTCATCGCAGACAAGGTCCTGGACGACGCTCGCCTCTGGACAGCAACCATTTACCGTACATACTTGGCCAGTCAGCTGGCAACCTCCAGCCACGCATGCTAAACAAGACCATACTTCCTCCTCAGTATCCTTACAGTTTGTTACAATTCATGAAAACCTACGTCCTGTCGAATCGCCAGTGGTGCAGTTGAACAGAGCTGATGTCGATGCAAATAAAGCAAAGAACACGGCGCTTTTCACCATGAATTGCATTGCCGAGAAGGTTCTGAAGTTTAGAAGCTGCCGCTACTACCGTATTAGGAGGGTGGTGGACGTCCAATTGACCAGATTTATATACCATCGAAACACGGAAGTTTTTCCATGAAGTGATCCTGAAACAAAGGTGTGAATGAACCGGGGCAAAATCGCGATCGTCCAGGAACGGCCAGAGGTGCGAATCGGCTGCCCAAACACACGGCTTAATGCCAATTTTTAGACTTGCCTTTCCGCACCGGCTAATGTTTGGACGTCTATCGTTCATTATGGGGAAGACCAACAGAGAACAATAAAATATAGAACGGAAGTGAAATCGAAATAGACGTGCATGAAGCAATAGAGGAGTTCTTGAAGAAACTCTGGGATTCTCATAGCTAGCCCAAAGACGAAAATTAATGCTAGAATATAGAAAATCCGAAAAATATAGTTACTGGAAATCAGCAAAAAAATGAATTTTGTTTCTACGTGGTGCATCACGTTTTCAACAGTTATACATAATTTTCTCGAAATTCCCTATTACTGACGGATTTTCTCTCTCACTCTCTCTCACTCTCTCTCTCTCTCTCTCTTTATATTTCTCTCCACCTCCCCTCTCTCTCCATCCCGCTCTCTCTCTCTCCCTCTCTCTCTCTTTATATTTCTCTCCACCTCCCCCTCTCTCTCCATCCCGCGCTCTCTCTCTCGCTTTCTTTCTCTCGCTATCTCTCGCCCTCTCTCTCACTTTCTCTCTCTCCCTCGCCCTCTCTCTCCCTCTCTCTCACTCTCTCTCACTTTCTCTCTCTCTTCCTCTCCCTCCTCTCCTCTCTCTCTCTCTCTCTCTCTCTCTCTCTCTCGCTTTCTTTCTCTTGCTGTCTCCCTCCCTTAATTTTTGCCATTAGACAACCGTACGTTGCCCAGCCGGACATCCCCAAATATCCAGCGCGGACGGTCCAGGCGCCGCTTGGGGCCCGCGTTCCAAAAAGGCTGTTTCGCCCGTCGCGGAACCCTGTTCAAACATTGCCCCAAGTGCAGACCAGGAAGACCATGACATTGCTCTATGGAGTGGTAACGCTGTTTGGGAGATGGCTTGGGTTTTACTCGGTTTTCAGGCCAAAGTGCGTGGTTGCAAGTTGTAGTCTGGGAGTTCAGCAAAGAAACCAACAGGGGAACACTCTGAGGCCGAGGTGGCGTTTTGTAATGAGACCCAGCCTAGCTAGTGCAGTATTTTTGCTGATTCGGAACATGCTTTCAATTTTTGCCAAATAGCCAGATTTAAAGAGCTATAGGGATTTTAAGCACTTTTTGAGCCCGCGGCGGCATCTGTCATGGTTCGCAACTTTTTGCTTTAGTATCGGAATACATTTTACGTAGCTTATTTTGAGAGAATTTTTTTGAGGCGAATGGTATATTCGATTATAGGCTGTTTTCATCATTTCCCATACAAAAATCGGAGTTCGTATCGTGAAATTTTTCGATTTTTGCGATTATCAATATTTTGGAGTTAAATGGCTGAATCATTGGAGAGAATTTTTCTGAATACCATGGCGATATTCGTTTCTGAAAAATTTGCCGAGAAGGACAAAATAATCGAATAGTAAACAGAACTGCGGACACGTTATTTTGTCGTTAAAATTGAGAAATTCATTTGCAAAAAAAGCATGGCAAAAGCGAAAACGAGAGCAGCGTAGGTGCCAATTTTCAACTTTTTAAAGGTTTTGATGTTCATGTCTGTTTACCGGTTCGCCTTGTGTTGAAATACGTAAAAATTTGCGTCCGAAACTGTACGAATGACATATTTCTATGGCCTGATATCTTGCCAGAGCATCCATTACTTTCCACCGTTCCACTTCCTCCAAAACTCTACACACACCCATAACCCGGTGAAATCGGCAATTCCGATGATAAAAAGCGCACTTTTTTGATAGAGCGCCCCTCATCGCAGTCAGCTGTTTGCACTCTTTGGGCGCATGGTGGCCGTCTCTCGCCCGAGAGACTACAGGGATATAGAGCGAAAGCCGAACACACAGATAGATCTGTTTTTCTCTGCCATTTCCCCATCTGTCCCCCCTTGGCCGGGCCCTCGAATCCTGGGCCACTAGGGCCCACCACCAGCTCTCACTAACTATATTTACTTCGAACGGTGGCGAGTATTCGTAAATTGGCGATTTGCCAGATTTTTCGAGATGAACCTAACGACGGAGTTGCTACCGTTAAAGGTGGCCGCAGCGAGGACAGTCGCGCTGCTGTTGATCCAGGTATTTTTTTAATTTTTTGCTCGGTATGACATTTAAAAGTTAAGCGCGGTCTTGGTAGATATATCCATTTGTTACAAAATTTAACAAGAGCCGTTCAAAATAATTGAAGTTTCAATTTTCTTTTTTTTTGTAAATATATTCTCAAGTTTTCTGATTTTAGAAACAAATACGATGGCGAAAACTCGTGGAAGTTGCCCGTACCCTCCGAGAGATCATTCCGAAGTTAAAGTCAGTAACTCTATCACGACAGCTACAGCAATTTCAAAACTCGAAATATTGATTCCAGATCTCAGTTTCAGACTCCCAATCAAAATCCGGCGCCCGCTACAAGATTTGGTATCTTTACTACTTCGCGAAATTCAGCGATGGGGTATGCTTATGAATTTTGTGCACCTACAAGTTTGCAAAATTTATAAAATATGCGAATTTTAATGTATCATTAATATTTTTAGCCGACAAGCACGTGGAAATGTTTCCCAAAGTCCCGGTAAAAATTGGGCGCACCCCTCGATCCGAGCACGTTCGCATGTTTCAGCCGTGGATCGTCTGGAAGCCCGGGAAGTCGGTGGATTGCTTGAACTTTTGCTTTACGAATGAATTGACTCAAAGACTTTCATCTAAAAAAATTTAGATACGAAATCGATGACTATCTGACCGCGAAAAATATTATGCAAAACGAATGTAAGAATTGGCCGCAGGTGCGCTGGCAATTCGCTTGCTGCTACGCGATGGAGGAAGAGGTAGAAATTAAGAGATTTCAACGAGGTATTAAGTTAGTGATTTCTACTACTAGAAAAACACTAAAACTCAGGCGTAATTTTACGTGAAAAATGCCTTTCTGATTTGCGTTTTCAAGCTCGTTCAAAAACCATAAATTTGTTTTCTTTCAGATTTTCGATGATTGGAAGTACGATCGACACCGAAGATCAACTTTTAAGTAAAATGAAAGCTTCGAAGTCAAGGGTTAATTTTTTAGAAAAACCCTCAGCGACCACCCAGTATACGAATTTTGGTCAGCGCTTTACGAAGCCCGATGGGAGTCGATGTTCGAAACGGAACGACGATTGCCGAATCAGGTACCTTTACGGGACTTTACAATAGAAAAATATGTTTAGAAAATGACGCAATGCTTCATCTTCGCAATCACCAATGGCTACTGCGAGCTCGTGAAATTTTTGTGGCACAAGATCGGGCTGAACCATGGGGAGTATGTTGGTAAGTCAAGGAAGCTTTCCGGTGTCTTCAAATCACTTCGGATTTCTGTTATCTGGGCTATTTGAGGCTAATACTGAAAAAGCTGTTGGAAACGATTGATTTTACCTACCTTTTGTTAGTGCATAGTCCTTGGCCGGCTTTTCGCGTCGCTATTTGACACTTCGCGCCGCGCTCTTGCGCAAAAGCAAAACGGAGCCATTTTATTTTGATTTTTTCTGCAGTTCCCCAATAAAATATCCTCGTTTTTATTTAAATATAATGTCGACTTTCCAGTATTACAATACATATTTTTCTTTATGCTTTCAGGTCTCCTGCAATGGAAAGCCTCCTGTTTCCGATGCCGAGACCGTGATACCATGAAGTTCTTGTGCACAAAGTAGTACATACCTTTTTTAGCTAGTTTTCATGTTCTTTTTAGGTTATGCGAGCTCAACCCAAAAGCCGTGGCCCGGATTACATGGTGCACATTTTTTGACGCTTTCTACAAGGCTGTAAATGTGAGTTGGATAAGATTTTCTCATGACTTTTTTAGAACGAAGAAACCGACAAAGTTATTGAGCAGAAAAACCGTTGTAAGGTCCAGTTTTTGTTGACGAATTGTTGCGATGTATTACGGAAGCGACTATTGGGAATGGAGAACTTTAGGTACGCTTTTGGATTATGGTATAAGTTAGATAGAAGCTGGTGCTGATAATTTCGATTTTTTCAGAGTGATTTGCGACGCGTTCCGTTATAATCTCGGTGATCTGTTTACGCTGTTTTTTGGAGCATTTGGACAAGGATGATTTGCGAGCCGCTCGAGAGGTAGGATAGATGTTTTCCACTACGGATTTTACTTACATTTTTTCGATTATAATTACTGTAAATGCCATTAATTTTAATGCTAATTTCTTTTTTAGGTTGTTGACCGTATCCACGACCGTACCCGAACCAGCCATGGAAGCTCGATGAAACAGATGATTCTGCGAAAGCAGCAGACAATCAATTAATTACAACCTTGCTCAAAACGTTGTACATATATATTATTTATTATTATTCAAAGGTTAAACTGTAGTTATTAGTCTAGCGCCGATACCACACCCAATCATACAGCATCGGGCCATCAAAGTGGTAGTAAATCGGTTGTAGGGGAGGGTAGTTCATGCGCGTAACGGGGACGGAAAATACAGCCGCATCTTGAGTAAGGGGGTTTTCATTTGATTCGGGGATTAAGGGTAGATTTTTTGGGAGCGTATTTTCCGCCATATCCTTGTCCTTCAGGATTGGCGACTTGATCTTGCCGACTACCTAGAAATTTATGATTATCGAAAGTGTTATAATATAAGCATGAGAAAATATAAGGAAGG